AAAAAAAAAAAAAAAAAAAAAAAAAAAAAAAAAAAAAAAAAAAAAAAAGGAATCAACATAAGAACTGAAAACACCGTGCCTATCAAAGATGGGGTATTCAGACATGGCGGGAAATTGAATACTTGATCAAACGACAACCAAGTCATGGATGTTGAGCTTAAGCGTTACCAGGCTTTTCATCGGTGTCGATATGCCAAACCACGTAATTGGGAAGACCAAAAACCTGGTATCCAGCGCGCTTGGCCATGCGGGCGAACCCTTCTGTTTCGGCTTGGTTTTCGAAAGCATAAGCGGGGAAGTTGATACCTGAAGAAATTAGAACCCTCACTAAGCCAGCCAGATCAGATAAAAACATACCAGTACGGTGGACATCAGCCTTCACGATAATGTTCACACCACCAATGCCATCGAGCTCAATCTCTTCATCCTTGTTATTCCTCCAGTCACCCATGGTGGCGAGGTAGGTCCGGCCGGTGGCGTATTCCTTGTAGCCTTCTGCCAGAACCGTGTTGGGGTCCAGAGTCGCCCGTAGCCTGCGACCCTTGTCGGACTCGATCCACGAGTTGTAGTCAACTGCAAGCAGAGTTAGATAGCATTCTCAAATGGACAGGAACTGAAATTCACGTACAACGACCCTCAATGTCATGACCATCTCGGTAGCGGTGGAACCAAATGTCTGCAAATGATTAGCATATATAAAGTAGACTCATGCGAGAAACACATACTAGGAACGAGAATGTCTTTGTCATGAGCGGTAAAGTCCTCAATGATCTTGTCGGGGCTGTCCACGATATCGACATCTCTCCAGTAAACCCAAGAGTGATCAGCCTTCAGAGCCGAGTAGAGAAGATAATTGCGCGCCCGTCCAATAGACTTGCGACGTGGTCCCTGAGCAGCGAACGAGTGACGTTCCTCGACGCTCATTTCAACATCTGCACCAAAGTCCTTTTGCACAACGGTTGCACTCCGGAAAGCAATCTTCTCCTCGGTTTGACTCTGGATACGGTTCAACTCGGATGAAAGAACAGCGAGGGTGTCGTCTTTGCAGTCACCGACGAGGAAGGCCAGGTCGATCAATTCGTGCGGGTAGGTCAGCTTGTAGAGAAGGTCGAAGTACTTCTGAATGTAAGGAGCGGCGTCTCTCAGCGGGGTAAGGATGAGCACGCGCTCGCCATTCGCGGCAGCCTTAGAAGTAGATCTAATGGGGTTGAGGTCCATAGTCGAGATCGAGGTGGAGTTCACCTCGTATGGCTCGTGGTGGTTGAAGATGACAGGTGTCTGAGCATGGGCATTCCACTCGACCATTTCGTTGATGGACATATCCATGGGCGACTTGGAAGAGCCGTAGCAGTAGAAACTGCATCGAAATCCATCAGTATATCCGATAATTGAGAGATGTGAAGGACAAGAGCCTACCTCTGCATCTCAGATGCAGACTTACTGATTCCGCTCCATAACAGAATCAGCAAGCCCGCAATAGCGACTGACACCAGAAAGCGAGTTCTTGTTACCAGCACCAGAATCGCTCTCCATGGAGGCAACCTGGCCTTGGCCGACTTCCATGTTACACCACCTTTGGGGAGAAGCATATTGTCCTTTTTCTAGACCAAATTCGACACCTTGGCTATCAATCAATCGATTCGGGGCGTTTCTATTCCTCAATCCACGGTATTCGATGGTATACGTCGATTAAAAAGTCGAAGTTTCGATGCCACAAATAGACACACCCTTGATCCGGCCACAAACGAATACGGAAGTCAGTGGGGGGAGACCCTGACCAGAATGTACAATACGTATCGCGGGGAGTTGTTTATCGCAAAATCTCGAGACGACCGCGTCGAATCGGAAGCGCTATAGTCTGGTTGGGATGGCAGATGAGGCGAGAATCGGTTGATGACGATTAAGGAGGGAAGAGAGAAGGAAGTGGGCGACGAAAGCCAGGGATCACCCGACGGATGGGCGGCTCTCGGAAAGTAAACGAGTGAACGACGATAAAAGATGAAAATACAATGATTAGTATCGAAAAAGGACGCGAGACGAAGAGAAAACACGAAGAGAGAAGCGATGAGAGGAAAGAAGGCTGGAGAAAGAGTCGAGAAGGCCAGCCAGACCGGGGGAGGAAAGCGAAGACGCTGATCTGCCCAAGAATTTCTTCGTTGTGACAGTCGGTCTCACCCGCCCCTTTTTATAGCACACCTTGACTTCTATGTATGGAGTAAGTATTAAGATACAAATATCAACTACAGTCATCCAGTTCGTAATTATACGAGCACATTTACTGCGCAACCGCGAATTTCTCCTTCTACTACTTGAAAACCCGTTTTCCAGTATATGTCACATGATTTCCAAGGCTTGGCGTCACTGAGGGACCAGACAGGAATCGATGGCATGAAATTTAATGGCTGTCATATAGTTGACCAAATACCCATTCCTAATCCACCAATATGTGCGAGACACGGTAATGAGCAACTGGTTAGGAGTATCATCCTTTGAAATACTCATGTAAATGAACCCTGGGCAAAACCAGGACGACAATAGGGGCTTGTCCTGTGATTCCTGTCCTCCCAGAACGTCTATTGCCAGAAGCCAATCCTGCTGCACATTTTACAGATGTGGCTGCGCAAGCAAGTGCAGAAGTATAACGACGTTCAGGTGGGTAAGTCAGCATCCACAACCGGAATCAGACGACGAAATTCTCGAAACACCCAATCCACAGGAGAGACTTCCCGACCTCTCAGAAGGTTATTCGAAGTTGACTTGGGAAAGTTCGAAGAAGGTGGAGTTGCTTGACTGATGATTTATAAGATGTAATTCGTCCAAACTGTATCGCGCAGGGTTCGTCGGATTGCTACTCTGTGCTAGGTATGAGGAACAGGAGAAAACCGACCTTCTACTTTGTAGCTCATGAGACTATGTGCTAGCCTGTCGTCCGACACGAGGGCTGTATGTGTCCGACTTGGTGGCTAGTTCATACTCTTCACCACCAGAAACCTCGCCGAAAGGAGAACTGTTCAGCAATCACTTTGGGTCCTATGATCATTTCGGATTGCGTGGTAGACAATATGACTACTGGGTAGAATGGAAGACTAGATAGATAGAATATCAAATTTGAATACAAAATAAACATATAAAACTGCTAAATGACAGATAAATATCCAACAAAATAACAAAGTCCAAGCGTATAAGACAACCAGTTATATGCACCAAATACCAACACACCATTGATCCCATCCCAACCAAAACCAATAGTTCAATCAGTATACACAGAAAAAGCCCAATATGCACATTTATGGTGGAAATGAGAAACCCAATCCAACTTTTCCCCTTTTCTCCAAATCCGAACTCGCCTAAGAACCCACCAGATATGGTCAAGCCAAACCTGCAACCTGCGCCCTGCGATGTGATGTGGTGTGATGCAAAGACCCGCGGAACTGTGCTCGAATAAATGACAGATGCAATGCAAATGCTAAACTCAGATGACCCAGAAAATTGATGCGAAAAAAAAAAAAAAAAAAAAAGGAAAGGAAAGGAAAGGAGAAACACCCGACATGAACACCGGCCGAAATATGCCCTATATATGCAAAACAAGCAAACAGATCAACAAAAAGAAAAGTGCCTATGGCGAAGGCATCATAGACCCCCGTTGCGAAGTGGGAACCGAGTACGAGTGCACCGGGGACGAAGGCCCTGTTGTAGGCGGGGTGCTGTTTAGATAGGAGTGGCCTCCAAAGGACGGAGGCCCACAAATGGGGATACCATCAAACCGCGAAGCCTCGGGGCTGCCGGCGGCAATTTCATCGCAGAAGACGCGCATGCCTGGAAGTAGGTTCTTAGGCTTATTGTTGGCGGCGGTAGTGGTGTCAGGGTGAGGGACCAGCATCTGGGGGCTGTTGGTCTCGCTTTTGGGGACGCGGAAGACATTCTCGTAGGCCTTGAGCTGGTACTCGAGAGCCTGGTTGCGCTCCTCGAGCATCTGCTTCTCCTGCTTGACGGTCTTGAGCTGTGCTTGCACGCTCTGATTCTGCTGCTGGAGACTGGAGACCAGTTGCTGGAGCTGCATGCAGCGGACCTGCGGCTGAAGCTTCTCTGAAAGGTGCTGAGGCATCTCATTTTCCTGGCGGATAAGGTGGATGATGATGAGAAGCATGAAGTCGATGAGGTAGATAGCGCCCTGTACAATGTGTTCCTTGGACTGTGGGAGGCTCTTGCCAGGGTTCCATCCGGCGCGCTCGAGGAAGAAGTCATGGATACGGCTGTCCAGTTCGCGGTGCAGCTGGCTTAGGTTCTTGCGGCGGTTGCCTTCGGCGATACGGTGCTTCTCGCGTTGGTCATCGGGGTCGGTGGAGATCATGCTCCCCTTACGCTTGCGTCCGCAGAGCTGCTGCAAGGGGGGCTTGCGGTTGATGTTTCGGGGAGCGATAAGGGTCACTAGTTCGCTCTGAGAGAGGTCATTGGGCCACTCCATGGTCTTCTGCGAGGAAAACGAATCTTGCCAAGTGCTGTCCTGGGAGTTTGCGGGCGAGGGAGGAGCCACCATGTTCTCTGGTGTTGGCCAAGACGACTTGACTGGGAAGGCATCTTGAGTAGTCGACGGGCTGGGAGCAAAGGTTCTGGCATTGAATGGGTTGAATGGGCCCCGGGGGAGGGGTTCGACGCGTGGAAGAGGGGGTAATCGGCGATCATCACTCATGTCCACTGCGCCAGCACCATTGGAAGATAAAGAGCGAACGCTACTGAAGTCATAGTTAGTATGTGGGATCTCCTTGGTGTAGACTAGGAAGGATACTCACGGAAGAGAGCAGTGGCGCGAGTAGTCACTTGTCATCGGTCCCATATCTTCAAACATCTTGATATGGGATGCTAGAAACGAGAGAAGCGTGGTGTATGTGATATGTGAGGATAATGTCTATCAATCGCGTGTATATCGGGCAAGTAGTATTTATGCTGCTGCCTCCTTTGTCGTTGAATGTATATATTCCAAGGCAAGATCAAACAGAAGGGATGGCAGACTGCACAATGATCACACTGATCGTTTCGGGTTGGCAGAAGAGAGGGCGAGGGGCCTTTAAATAAACGACAGCAAGGGCTCAGGTAGGAAACGAAAAGAAAGCGAAAGATAGTCAGAGAACAAAGTACTGGATAGGATTGCAAAATCCACGAGGTTAGAAACTCAAGAGATGGAATGCTTGATGAAGGAACCAGGTACCCGGTGCGGATGCATGTTTTATATCTTGAGCTGCAGATACTGAACAGGAGACGACAGGTCAAAGGTACTTTCTTCATCGAGAGTGGTGGCGTTCGAGATGCCCCCATAATCCGATGAACTGTAGCATAATCGTCAGTATTAGCAGCAGCAGCATCTTGGAATCTCTGCACAGATTGAAGCCAAGATGTATCATAATCCATGCGGATCTGCGACGGGATCCAACCGGAAAACCAATTTTAGCCGGAACAGAGTTATGTGGATGTGGCTCTTGACGTACAGATCGATCAATATTGATGCGTAGTATCATGGTTATTGATTTTTTGGAATCAACTCTGCAGCATGATCCCCATGTCCCCATCGTGGCGGGGAAGCAAAAGGGCGATTCCGGCAAAGTTCAACCATACAGGGGGGTGGTATGTGGAGGAGGACGCAGAGGCCCTAGTGTTCGGTACATCCGTGAGGATGATAGAAACGAGTCTCTCTGTCACAAAGTATCGCACAGACTGAAACAAATTGCTCGTCCACTCCCCGATCGACGAATTAACGTGTGTCTATTATTTCCATATCCCAAGTTATGATGCTGAAGGATCAGGGTCCCTTGATTTGTCACCGGGATAGCAAAGTAGGAAACGAGCATGGACATAGAGAGTATTGTGGTGAACGTATGTATGCATGCAGTCTGTATTTCCTGGATATCGATTATCCTGCATCCCCTTGCATCTCACCCAACAATAGTTCATCTAAGCCAATGGCTTTGTTGCCTCTATGAATTTCATGATGCATCCGCAACGGAATAGCGTTCTTTTGCGGTAAAAACGTTCTGGACGTTTGGCGGTTTGCGAAGCGCTTCCTAGCTTATGGATGTACATGTTACGGAACAGCCCATCCGGCGTTTGTCTATGGTACAGAGACGCCAGGATTTCTATGGGGGGTTTTTCTTTTTTTTTGGTTTTGTTCTTTTTTATTATCCGTTCACCTGGGGAAGGCGAAAGTGAGAGATCAGAAGAACCCGAAAAGTGGAGAGAACGAGCGCTCAAGCCCTTTCCCAATGATAATGATAACTGTCTGTCTCGGCAAGCGAATGGACACCCGCAAAATTCCTCGATCGTGGCAAAATGCCCATGAGGTCCCATCGAAAGTTCATTTAGCTCGAGCACAATAGCTCGCGAGACTTCCTCGAACAGCACATCGCCTCATTCGCATTGAATGTGCACAAACCGCCATAAGTGGACATCTGGCAGTTTAGCTACAGCAATCATGAATGGTCTCCGCTGAGGGGAAAGAGGGCATCTTCAACTCCGGGGAAGCATGGAGCAACAAAAGTACGGAAAATGCAATGACAGGGATCATAGAAGGTTTTCTGGTACAGTGATGCTCCTCCATACATTGTACATCGTACATCGAAACAATCCGACGCACCGACAGGAGGGAGCCGGGATCTCCATCCATTCACCAAGGGGGCGAAAACGGGGGAGGCTCCTTTTCTGTCTTTGGCTGGAAAAATATTCCGGGCAAATAGCAGGAAGCAAGGATTGTGCCATTACGGATGATGGCTCAATAAATTCAGCAGCAGCCCAAAAAGGTACTTGTACATGAGACGAAATCTATGCGGGACCATAATGACATTGGCCTAGGCCATACGAAATATATTCGTCCTCAGAATGTAAGGCAGAAGAATAACGATAGACGGCTCGAGGAAACCAAAGGATGGGGACGAATCCAATGACTAGGGTCTGACGGGCTGTCAGGACCAGATTACAGTTATTTCCGGACACAGTTCCGGATAGAGTTGAGTTGAAAATGCTGTTGATTGGAGTGTTTGCGTGAATAAAAATATCGCTAGTCATTCCGCGGCAATTCAATTCCCATCTAAATACGAGTGTTTAGGTTGGGAGGCTTTGGGATCCCTTGGTGGGTGTTGATAGCGAAACGGTATTAAGAACTGGGATATTGAACAATAAAACGAACTGCTCATTGTCATACTCGAACAAGCAAGAGCCATCGCCAAGATATTCGATGAGTATAGCTGCCAGTGATTGTGGACGGACCGGATGGAGGATGAAAATGACGGGCAGTGGATGGAGGTGAAGAGAGGTTGGAGGTTGGCCATCAGTGGGGCCGGGCGTTTCAGGGCATTACCTGAGCTGTCATATCGGCGGTGTACTATCAATTAAACCCCATCGGGTAGGTCGCTACCAACTGTAGGCTTACTATCTCAGTTAAACCTCCGATAGTATATAGTATACCAGCCACAACTCTGTAAATCACCCAGCAGAGTTCTAAATAAATCGTCTTACACTAAACTAATAAGCAACATCCTTGCACGTACGTAGCAGAGCACGAGCCATCCCACACATTGCGCAATCTCTCAACCTTACTTCTTCTCTTCGTACAGGCGGATGCGGTTTCCGTTGCATGGCTAGCTGCATTGGTGTTGGTTAATTATTCTCCGGCGGTCGAGACTCGTCGGTTGTTTTCTCCGCGTATGTCCCAAATCGTCATTGGCCATGGTATATTGTCCCGCAGAAATGATATGAATTTATTATGGTACGTTGGTACAGGAGTCTGGGGAGGATATATGGGTGGCTTACTTTATGGATCAAGAAACACTGGGATTAGGTTCGAAAACACGAGTTCGCAGAATATCAATATATATCCCCTGCGCCATCGACTGGTCAGAAGCTGATATCCTTGTCTATGTCAGAAGTACCTATTTAATCCATGGACATGGATTACAGTACCGTGGAACAAGAACAAGCTACCACTGACCTGGTCATGGAATAAAATCCAGACGGAATTAATAGGACCCAAAACCTAGTCACCAGAATACTAACAAAATCCAGATTTGACCCCTCCGAGAATTGTTGCATCACCATCAATAACTGAACATCTTTCCGGTAAGGGCAAGTACCTGTACTTGCACGCACAATTCCCACGAAGAGCGGATGTACTGATTATCATTGCACATGTATGCATGGTGTACAGTCTACGGAGGACAAGTGCACATCCAGTATATACATAGAAGCTTCAAAAGTACTTTGCCCCTGCCTGACCGTATTGCATCAAGTCATTCATGCTCTCTATACCTTGTCTACAGAATAGGATATCCTTGTATGGAAAAGACGAAGCTAACACCGTTAGAATCGCCACTAGCAGTGTTCAGTCCTTGTGGGTGAAGCCACAGTGGCCATGAAGTAAAAGTATGTTGACCTTGCTTCTGCGTGTACTGTATGAAGTGTATAAAGCGTATGACGTAGACATCCCTACGGCGTACAGGGTACTGTACATAACCGGGAAAAAGAAAAAGGAAATATACCAACAGCTCCATCTGTCAATAACAAATGAACTTAAGGATTCCGGATCAATAAGCGACTCAACAGTATAGCAGGGGTACCCTGTACTACTTCATAATTTTAGCATAGATACGAGGTGAAGTAGAGGGTACGCAGGTACTTCTGTGTACGTTGAACCTCTACTAATCAATAGAACCGCCAGACCACCCTTCTTAAAAGAAAGTCATGCCACGCTCAGTCGCACTCTAATTAAGGTACCCCGCCCTCGTATCGCTACCAAAGTAAGACGAACAAGTACGAACCAACCAGTAAGGTCGACCTGTATATCCACGAGTCAGTCGTGTACCGGCCCGAACAATCCTATTCTATCATAACCAGAACATACAAGTACTACATGGCACCAAAGTACGAATTTCTCTTTCCAGGCGCATACATATACATGTACATACAATGGCATCCCTGGAAATAAAGGGAAAAAGAATCCAGGGCCTATCCCGGACCCCGGGATGGATCGGGCTGGCCGGGTCTATGGGGAACATGTACGCGGATGCAAGGCATGCAAGGCGTGCATGTGTACATATGGAATAAGATATACATTCACAAGTACGTGGCGATTGATATCTGTGCAAGGACGGATAGAAGAGACAGGTGTGTGTATGTGTGTGTGTAGGACTCCGCCCGCGCGCCTTGCAGGGCATAGATCATAATATTGAATTATATCATGGTATATCATATCAACTACGGCTTTACCATAGGGGTAGTTCTTGGCTGTGCTGAGATGCTCGAGGGATATTGTTCGATTTTCCGGTAGATCATTGGTCTGGGTGTCTGTATATGGGAATGCCGAAATAGAAACCGTAGGGCAGAATAATAAACCAGGATAAACAATCATCTGAGTAGTGTAAACTAGGATGTCTACCTACTGTTACTACCTTTCCCTGTACTACGGAGTATACGGCACATCCCTCGTTCACCTATACAACACATCGCATAGCAAACTTCAACCACCAAGCTATATGTACGCCCTAACCCACCACTCGTGTTCTGTGCGTACTCCGTCCATTATACATGACATGCTCGGGACGGCACGCTACAGAGACAGACGGGTAATAAAAAAGCAAGGCAAGACCACATACTCCATAGTACTCCATAAAAACATACACAATATATCCACAGCGCCATGGCATATACCGAAGGTATGCTTTCAGAGGAACATATTAGTTACGGAGTAACCAGGCTATTTTTCCCGTCCAATGAACACGCACAAAAAGTTCAGCGGAAGCTAATTCCTCTATTTCCGACACTTTAATCGGATGATGTCCATGTCCACGATAGTCGATTGACCCGCTTATTCCAAAAGATAGATGGTAGGTATGTAGATGGATCTATGGAGTACGGTTCGTTTTGATTCTCCATCTCCATCTACAAATAGTTAAATACATTTCTTTGTACTCCGTACTAAGTATGGACCACGGTTCTCCTCACCTGTTATGTTTTCCGCAGATGTGATGTATCATAAGAACCCTTACCGTTCCGTCGTGGAGAGTAAAGTCTCTACTTTCTACTGGTGGCTCTCTATTTTCCTACTCTCTCGTCCTCTCGTTCTCTGTTAGAAATGCTGTACGTAGAATAGATACGTATGTACTTGTATGCGCGCAGAGTACGGAGTACTATGCACACGTACAAGCAAGGCCCGTCCCACCCTCATGGGGGTTTGTCCGATGGGACAAGAGATCGATAACTAAACAATGGAATTGATGACTTGATGCCAGTAAATTAAGTAGATGGAGACTGCCTTGTAGGTAGAGTTGCAGCAGTACTAGCTAGAAGATGAACCATTTTTGCCGGTCATGAACCTCACCATTGCTAAAACACTGCTCACCGGACGACAGTCGAAGGTAGAGTCCGAAACAACGGCGGGGACGTTGACAGCTGGCAATCACTCTCTCGAATCCTTCGGCCCTCGACGTAATCCTCCCCTCGTCCGACAAACGTGAAACGAACGTGTCGCCGCACACTCTGGCCACGAAAGCCGGCAATCCAGCTAACTGCAAGCTTGATGCACATCTACTACCAAACTGGGTCTACAGCAGCCGCTCGGACGTGCCCACCACACCGCCAGCCACTGGGGCCCGCGGGAAGCAGCATGCGGCCAGACTAGGTAACTACTTGATTCATGAACCATTTTCGCTGGCTATAGTACTCTGTAGGCCAAAGGAATATCTCAGAAACAGTCGTATCGAATTAATGGCGATCAGAAACATTAAACCAACAATCAATGAAAAAGACAAACTCCTTTCCGATAGAACGATGAAACCTTTATCTTCAGGGGACATAGCCCGCCAAATGAGCGAATCTCCCTCAAGACTCAAATTATTATAAGAACAGCAGAAGAAATAAAATAGGACAAGAGAACCCCTTGCTAATTAAGCGACTCTACACAACTCTTTGGAGCGAAGTAGAATGGTATAAAATGGAGGAAAAAACGGGAAATAAAGAACGCATCTCTCTGGTATCAACAGGGGAAAGGCTTTTACATAGCAAGCTGGAGGAGAGCACCAAAGATTGCAGCCATTCCCATGGCGGGAACATTGGCAATGTTGGCAGGGGCAGCACCCTCGCTCGAAGTAGAAGTGCCAGAAGCAGCAGAAGAGGTGCCGCTGGAAGTACCAGACTGGCCGTTCTTGCTCTTGGGGTTGGACTTCTTGGCGGAGCAAGTGTACGAACCACGGATAACCTTGTCCTTGTGCTTCTTGTCGAAACCGTCGCAGTCGAAGTCACCAGTGCTCTGCATGTTGAAACCACCCTTGACGTTGCTCAATTCGGGGATGTCGACGCTAGTAGTCATGTTAGCAGTGTAAACAGAATGATAAGCAATGAACGCATGAACTCACTTGTCAAAAGCACCGCTAAAGTCAATAGCACCAGTGATGGTCTCGAGACTAGGGAAAGAGATGTTGGCAAGCTTGTCGTTACGCATGATCTGGAAACCACCGTTGACAGTCTCGAGCTGAGGCATGCTGAGGTTGGAGAGCTTAGCGTTGTTGTTGAAAGCAAGGTCACCGGTCTCGGTGAGGTTGGGGGCACTGAAGGTCTTGAAGCTGTCACCCCAGAAACCCATCTGACCGGTCAAGTTGTGGAGAGAGGGCACGGAAACGCTGCTGACGTTACGGAAGGTCATGTTGGTACCGCTGGCGAGGTTGGGGAGCTCGATTTCGAGAGAGTCCATGTTACCAGCGAAGTTGATGAGACCGGTGGCCTCGGTCAGGTTGTTGACGTTGACAGTCTTGAGGTTGGTGTTCTCAGTGATGTCGAAGTCACCAACCTTGTTGAGGGAGATACCGTCAAGGCTGGACAGACCAGTGTTGGTGATGGCAACGTTGCCAGCCTCAGAGATACCAGTGGCGAACTCAAGCTTCTGCAGCTGGGGAAGAGCAGTGAACTTGATGCTACCAACGCTGCTCAGAGCGCCAAAGTTGAGAGTGTAGAGACCAGTAAGGCCATCGAGCTTGAAGGTGTCGCCGATCTCGCCGAGGTTGGGGGCAGTCAGAGAGGTAAGGTTGCTAGCACCAGTGCAGCTGAAACCACCGGTGATCTTCTCGACGTTGTTGAAGGACAGGGTGTCGGCGACCTTCTCGGAGATTTCGACATCACCCTTGAGGGTCTTGCACGAGCTGTAGCCATCGATGTCGCTCTGGCTGGAGATTTTAATGGTCTTGCCCTCACCACAGGCTGTAATAAAACCTTGTCAGTTTCCCAATCCCTCGGACAACCCATTATCAATGAGGATCACTCACAGGAACCGAGAGCAAGTTGACTCGCCGCCAGGGCGGGAAGAGCGTACTTCAAAAAGGCCATTGTGATAGCTCTTTATTCTGATGAAGAAACCTCGTTAGTCCTCGATCACGATATAGGAAGGGATTGATAGATTTCGAACTCGACCAGGGACCAAGTTTCAACGGTCGAGCGTAGTAACCCTCGAGCAACGACCGAGTCGAAACACAGCCTGTGCGAGTCCGAATGCAAGACGTACCGATATAGTCAAGTAGTGAAAGTTAGAGATGCAGTCTGTATAATAACGAGATGGTAAGCGGTTGTTCGAGAGATGGAATAGAAAGCAGCGTTCTTTTGGGGAGAGGGAGAACCAACAGTTGGATTTGAACGAGCGAAGGGTTAAATGGGAAGGGACCAAACGAAGGAAGCTGCCGGGGACAGGCGCAAAGTGAGACTCGACAAGAAAAGAAGGAACGGGCGAGAAAGGGAAGAAGAAGAGAAGAAAAAGAGAAGAAAAAGAGAAGAAAAAAGAAAGACTGGATGGTGAAGGAGAGAAAGCGCAACCAGAGGCAAAAGGCTTTCATTCAGGGAGGACAAGAAAGGAGGCGTGGCCCGCGCGGTGGGTCGGTATCGTATTTACGATACAGTTATTTGCGGTGGTCTGATTCAGGTCCTGGCCAATCATCACACGCAATGGCAGCAAGACAATACGGTACCTGGCAGGAGCATTACCGTTATGACAGCCGAAAGCGCTACAATCCTTGATTCATGACCGGAAATGAAACCGATTTTTACGCCCCTTAGTCGGTCCCAGCGTGTAACACATCGCCAATCAATGCTTCTATTGTACCTTTTCATTGGCCAAAATCTAGGACACCAGTCCCGCCCGGTTATCGTCAGCCACTCATAGTTATTTTTTGTTTGCGTTGGCTGTTAGACCCGATTCTGCCAGTTCTGTTTCTGTTTTCAGTAATACCAATACAGAATGCATAATTTATGCCGAATGCATCACAACCACAATCATCAGGGCTGAAAGCATTGGAATGAGAGATTCGTGGTCAATTATTTGCGATTATGATCGATAACTAGAATTGAATGGTTTCATCCCAGTATTGGGGATCGAGAAGATCCAAATCTTGTTTAGGAGTAAGTTACCCGTAGGACTAGTACGGACTAGTGTGGCTAGTAATACATTCTGACAGAACCATACCATACAGAAAATAGGATATCTATAGTAACACCATACCGTCCATTACCATGCATCCATGCCATATATCTGTACTCTGTAGTCCAGTACACAATGCTTGTTGTCATTGTTCGATTCTAGCTCTATAAACACCTGGAGGAAGACTGCCAACACAGCTCAGCGAATAGCTCAATTCAGAATTCGCCACGATCGACGACTATCAATACAAAAAAAAAAAACAAAATACGGTACCGTCCCAGAGCGGATAAGGCAAAAATAAAAAAACCAACCTCCTGGATGAATGCCGTCTACTACTTCGTACATCGAAGCAGCTGAGACTTACATACCGTACAATATCAAATGCCAAATCCGTCAACCGGATCCAGCAAGTACTCTGTAGAGACCTCCCCGTATCAGAATTCAGAATAACACTCGCCAGAGTCTGGTCTGTACTCGGTATACCGGTAGTACTGTTCCGTAGAATACATACGTACAAGCTCCTAAATTAAGAGTGGCGACATCGATTCCGGTGGTCTGTGATTCCTGGTTCGGGTTCGAGCGAAGACCAGGAAAAAGGAACCAGGGAATATCCCGAAATCAATTGGTGGTCCGACGTATTTGGGCGTATTGTTCAATAATGACCTGTGTCTAGCGACGCTTCCAGACTCTCGCTTGCGGTTGATCCATCATCCGTATGCCCTAACCGGGGTTCTTTTGTGCATTTTTATTTATGTGATACTCGTAGCAGGTATATTGCTATCGGCTTATGTTATGGTTGCAGTCTGTTCGCTTTTGATGCACTCGACATCCTCTCAGAGATACAGCCATTCAACGACGGTCACTGATTGTGATTTCCGATCGTTAAGATTCTACACTGATCTCTCCACTACGCTCCGTCCGGGACTCCACATGACTATCCTCGGCTGTTCTACGTAGCGTCATTGGTACACGCAGTACGGAGTATGGTCAAATAATGGCCTTTATCTACAACGCATTGTTCTAGAAGTAATCTTATAAGCATATTCTGTTCTCTGATAACAAGTACTCCGTACGGAGTATGGAATATCACCGTGATCATCCTGTATCGACATCAATGCCAAGAAGCACGTTCACCCCCGACGCCACTTGATACAGAATGAGTGGCTAAGAAGCGAGGAATTGTTAGTATTCTACATAGCATGGAGTAGCATAGCGCCATCACTCCAATTAATAGTATGGAAACAATTCCATATTCCTATTCAATACAATAATTAATGACTACGTTACATTCGGTTTATTCCTGTGATAAATAAATTACAGTGCAATACTTCCGTATTGTACAGAATGTGCAACATTACTCTATACAAACGGAGTATTTTTAGGATATACAAAATGAAAGAGAAGCTTTTTTACGGTTGCCTAAAATCCACCACAATCCCCTTTATCGAAAGGGAGTTTGAAATGGAGCATTTTATTGATGCTTAGCTCTAGGATTGAATAACTTTAAGTGGACAATACCGGACACTATTATCAGGGGGAAATTACAAAGCACGCGAATTCTGGGTATGAACTCCATACAAGTTATAATATAGCGGATCCTCCCTCGTTACTTCGTGCAAGTAGGAATGCCTGGATTGGTTTCCCGTTACATTCATTGCTTGTCATGTCCTTTGCTTTTCTAATTTATTCCAATGTTAAGGAAAGCTGCTGCTAATCACAAGGCACTTCCTTGCCGATCAACGCCAACCATGGCTTAATCTGTCTTAGATAGTGCTGTATTGTGGCAAGTTTTTCTATGAAACTTCCATCCTGGGTGGCTACCCTTCCCGTCGGACATTCCATCAACCCAGCAGAGCACATGCGCCATAGATCCCACAAGCAAACGCCTAGCCGTCGAAGTGCTGGAAGGCCCCAAAGCCTCGCCACTTCAACCCTGTTAGCTGTCCTTGACGTAGAGGATCGAGAATATTCCCCTGGTATAGTTTCATTGTTCGCCCTATCCGTAGAGACTCCATTTCATATCGACATTGGGACATCGGTCTTAAGAGGAGTCAGCGGTAGTCTCCAGGCGGGATAGTCGCCAGAGTCGAAGAAGCTGTCAGAAGGTGCAAAGAGCGGCATCGGGTTTTCTCTCAAGTAACGAAGGATTTCTTTGAGCTGGGGAAGTCTTCGTGTTGTAGAGACCCATACCCCAAATCACCCTTGATCACTCACAGATCAGGTCGCATTAGTACAAAACACAAATCAACCATCCCAATCCGTGTTCATTTTCTAAATCTCCTCGGCAGTCCAACCTCAGCCTCCCCACAAAGCTCCTCCTTTCGCGGTAGTGTTGTTGTTGTCGTCGTCATTAGGCTGACTTCGCCTCTCAGCAGCTTTCCGGGGCCATAGTAGCGCTGCAGGCGCCACAAAGCCCAATAAGTTTGGTATTCCTCAGCCCAAAAAGGGGGCCACCCCGCCTTCCGCTCCTTATCTAGAACAGAGGGTGACTCGCTCAGTGAAGCCTTTAATGCGGCGCGAAAATTCTGAAGCATGGTGGATAAGACTGTACATGCCAGGCATTGGATTGGTGCTGCCAAATGAATTGTGTTTCGTATCGCGGATTGTGCCTCATTACCGCCATGTTGACTAAGGAGCTCAGATACATCAGATGCGAGGCGAAGATGTTCGTTGATGTTCGCACAACAAAACGAGGGGAGTCTGATGATAATGACTTGTCGATTCATGTTTTGGATCCTCCTCGGGTTCGCACCGATGGTCCAAGGAGAGAGGATATCTTCCCAAACCAAGAGAGAATTGGCTTGAAAACCCGTATTTGCTCGAGGTGAAACTAGCAGGAGACTATCAAGACCGGAAAAGTCTTATGTGCATCTTATTATATGGAAGACTATCTCGACTGGGGGTCTTTCAAACATACTGCTGATTGTTTTATAGAGTCAGGGGTACAATCAAAGTATAAAAAGAAACAGGAAGTACATACACGAGAGGTGCTATTCAAAGAAAGTCTACCACAATTTCTGGCATGCTAATACTGCCTCTCAATTATACAGCTGACTTATCGAGTAGTAGTACTATGCTCTGGTCTCTGTAGATCAACAGCCCCACGGAAAGTCCCTGCTGCATACATAATAGCAGGCGGGTATTCCGTACAACTACTACTTGGTATTATGTGCCTGTGAAACGACCCAAATTTCTGTCTCTATGATCCTAGCCCGGAATAGTGGTTATACTTTACTCGCTGTCCGTACTTTTATATCCCTGTCGTCTAAACAATTCTTAATACTTTGAAATAATATTAACTACAGTAATATGTCCAACCCAACAGCTCCGGATTTATCTCTGACCTTTGAGTCAATCATCATACTGTGGGTTTCTTAACTGGCGCAATATCGAACATGAAATGAACCTGATCTTGAGGCTCATCGGAATACTGGTGAATTGTCTTAACAATCACCTTTGTCGGAGCCCTAGCTCCCAATTCCTTCTTGCGGTTAGTCAGAAACCAAGCAACACCAAATGGGGTCGGTGTTTTTAGAATGGCTTCGTTAGTATCTTTTATATTGAAGGACTCATCAGGCCATTCAGGTATAGCGCTTTTGGCTGCCTCACTCGCAATGTCCAATGAGTCCTAATTGATCCGTGGTGTCGGGGAAAGTACTCGATATTCTTCAACTGGTCTTCGTTTTTCGCGATATGGAGCCAATGGAGGAAGTAAAGATTAGATAGACTGTTCAGCGGGGGCGCTTTCAAGTGTGGATTGGCTGTTTGTGGGCTTTCGTTTCTTTCCGCTGAATTGTACCCAGCTTCGGCGCTCATGCTTTCAAGATATTCGGCGTTTATTTCCTGCATAGAAAACATGTCAAAATGGAAATTCCCACTATATCCACTCCCCAAGACTGAAAGATGTTCATTTGCTGACTTACTTGATGAGACCCATCGTTGTCATCCCATTCCTGATCCTGAAAGCAGGCCATATGCCCCAAGCCTTTCTTGCCCAGCTTAAATGGCAGGCCCAATCCATCCAGTACGTCAAACATGTCTTTTCCAGTCTCAGTCATCTTGCCGTTGCGTCCGTACCATTGAGGTGACCTGTACGGGTTAAATTCACCGGGCTCAGTAAATCGTTAATGCAACCTCTCGCCACGTCAAGAAGCTTCAGCGAGCACACATAATAATTGCTAGTTTAAGTGCTTTCTCTCATATTAAGGCCTTCACATCGTCATAATTGGGTAGAGAAGTAATTTAGGGAATATTCAGTACATCCGTATTCTCCCTCCAGAAGACATGGTGTTCCGGAGCCGGGACTGAATGCTAAGTAGCATGACGAGCCGCCCGGAACCCATGAGCAGGCTCACTTGCTCTGTGTATGCAGAGCAGTACGAGTAGAGAAAGAAAAGCAAGAAATAGAAAGAAATAATCTTAAGAAGGGAACGCCATATTCAAACGAATGACTCGGGAACATGTAGGATAAAGCGAAGGAAATTTAAAGCGACTGCACTTGAATTGAATGAATGATAGGAATAATTAGCACTGGAAATCAGTAACAAGAATTGTTATCCGATTTTGCTCACTTGATATCCCCTAAAATGGATATAGATTTTCTGGTTCAGCCTGGCATCCTATGGGTCTATTCGGGAGCACTATCCTACTTTCGTAGTCCGTAGTATAGATGGCACTCTTCTTGGTAAGACAAAAAAAATACTTGGAAATTAATCCGTATTACTACGCCAGATTCTAATCCCTCTATCGCTGCGAGTCAGTGGTCATGTCCTCTGCTGGCTGTCAAAAGTCCGGTTTCATGCAGGATACTGTAAATATATGGGCTACTCTTAGAATTTAGTATAATTTTACACCTTGAAACACTTCCTTCCCATTCCACATGCCACTCATTAAGTTACTATTCAGCGCTCCTTTGGTTAGTGTTCATCCTTTTCTTTGTATTAGTCGAATCTAGCCACCCCATGCTCCGTACACAAAGGCATTTCGAAGAATGGATATTTGAATGGATCCAAAGATATGCCGTATTTCGTAGACGGAGCTAGGATTGCACCCAATTCAAAAACAGGGACGAGTTCTCCCCTCCAGAGAAACTGCACGGAAGCGGCTCACTACTCAAATAGTGCATATGAGAGTATGTAAGTGACCGTGCTCTTCCCCTTCTCTCTCATTCTCATTCTCGTTTTCCCTCTATAGATATACATATTTGCTCCAAATAGCAAAATGGATGTATTTTTTGTTCGAACTGCACCGCATGTGTGATTTTCTTGTGGAAATTGCAATACAAGGCCAACCGCCTCCGCAGATTCATAACTGAGGTTCGTTGAATATCACAATCTAATCCTGCGGGTTGACAGGCGCTGGTAGCACCTCGGGCAGGAGAAGTCACGTTTCTTTTTCTACATACCACATACCACATCATAGATGGCACCGTACAGC